GCGTCGCGAGCGTCGTCACAGAGAGCGTGAGCCCGGCATAGAGACGGCAAGTCCTCTCGCTCCAGGCGTGGAAACAACTACAAACTAGACATCATCGACAAGCTCGACGTCACCGGCATCTACGGCCCTGGCTGTACGTCTCCTCTTCTCTCTTTCTCTCTCTCTCTTCTTTCTTTATTTCCATGTTAATTGATTCTTAGCATTCCATCATGATGGCCCGTTCGATGCATGCAACCCTCACCGCAACCGCAAGGGCTCACGCGCAGCCCCCATGCAGGCCTTCCCCAAGGACTCCCGCAACATGGCCATCGGCGGCGCCGGGCCAAATAACAACAAGCTCGACCTCAACCAGATCCATGGCCGCGGCCAGGAGGGCTACTCGGACTTTTCCACCGGCATCTCCAGCGGATCAGCCATCTCCTCCTCCGCCATGAAGGCAGACGCCGCCGTTGCTTTCAACCCAACCAGCCAGATCGAACAGGTCCACAGCGACATCAGCATGGGCCTCGGAACTTCCACCTTCCTCGAGGGTACCCCAGCCAGCCGTGCCGCCATCCAGCGCAAGGAGTCAGAGTCAGACACCATGCAGGCCGGCCTCCAACGCAAGAAATCGCTCGCCCAGAAGATCCGTGGCATCAACAACCGCAGCATCAGCAGCGGCAGAGTCATGTCTCCCGAACCGCTCCTCCAGCGTCGCCCCTCAGAGGCCGCCGACAACCCGCCTCGCCATGCGCCCCCTCCGCCGCCACCCCGTGCCACAAGCTCCCGTCGAGCAAACACAAACGACAAGAACCCTTTTTTCTCCAATAACAGCAGTTCCTCAAATAATAACGCCTTTGGAAGCTCCAGCCAAGACTACGATGATGCATACGACATGAAGTCTGCCAAGATCCAGAACCACAGGCTCGTCGACAGTGATGATGGATATGGAGGGCGGCCCAGGGCCATGAGCAGCCCCCGTGGCCGGCCAGAGCGCAAAGAGAGCAGCGACGGCATGACCAGCCCGACTGCAGAGGACCCCAAGCCTGCCTCTGGCTTCATCAGTCGCGTCAAGAGCTTGAGAAAGCCCAGAGCCAGGTAGTACTTGCTCTCTACCTGTGTCTAGTCTATCGTTGCTTTTTCCATACCACTCCTTAACACTGTTACTCGCAACTGACGACCATGTATCTTACCTCGCATATCACACACACACACACACACACACACACACACACACACACATTCTCTACTTTCCTCCAGCGATCGATCCATACTACCTCCCGGCTCCCTACGTAACCAGCCGAGACAGCTTTGTTACTCCTCATCGCCATCTTCAGTGCCATTGATACCTTCTTGTCGCTTTTTATCAATCTGTCCTGTCTTGTCCAAAAAATGTATTCCCAACTGTAGACTTAATCATCGACAACACCTCCGTACAAGCACGCTGCAAGAGTAGATCCAACAATAAAGGGAAATATAAATATATCATGTTATGACAGTTTATCAAACTCCTCCGAGGCCGACAGCGGTTTCACCCTCAGCCCGCCCTTGACTACCCCGTCAAGCTCAACCTGGCTCTCGCTTCCGGCTCCGGCTCCAGCTCCAGCTGAAGCTTCCCCAAGCTCATCCTCATCTTCCCGCCAAAAGTCCCTCTTACCCCTGGCCAGCCGCCGCTGCCAGCCAGGCAACACGCCCCCTGGAACCTTATACGTCCAGGGGTCCTTAAACTCCTTGTTCTCAGGCACAATCTTGCCACACGACAGTACCTCGACAACCTTCACAAGCGTGTTCAGCAACGCGTAAGTCAGTATGCCCGCTATCAGACCATACGCAATCGAATACGTAAACGGCATCACAGCAAGGCACACAAACGCCGGTATTGCGTCACCCATGTACCGCCAGTTGATATCCGCAGCCACTCGCACCATCATGCTGCCGACCAAGATGAGCGTGCAGCCCGTCGCCCACGGCGGAATCGAAGCGAAAATAGGCGAAAAAAATATAGACACGAAGAAACATACCCCCGTCGTCATGGCCGTTAGCCCCGTCTTGCCGCCCTCGGAAATGCCCGCCCCAGACTCCACAAAGGCCGTCACGGGCGACGAGCCGAACAGCGACCCAATCGATATACTCAGTGCGTCGACCGTGTACGCCATTGCAGACCCTTCGAAGTCCTGCGTGCGCTCGTCAATGGCCCCGCAGAACCGTGCCATCGAGTACATCGTCCCCGTGGCGTCGAGGATGTCGACGTACAGGAAAGTGATCAGCGCCAGCCCGAATTGGCCGCCTGCCTGGCGCCAGATCCCACTCCTGTTGGACGAGCGTGCTTTCGATCTTGTGGAAGGTGACTACTTTCTTGAAGAAGCGAATGAGTCGTTGCCGAGCGCGCTGTAAGGGAAGTACGTTACGTTCGTCGGACGGGGCCACGATATCACGGAGACCAGTAGGATGCCGGCGATTATGGCGCCTTTGACGCGGTACATCATTAGCACGCAGGTTAGGATGCCGCCGCAGAATATCCCGACCCAGAGCGTGGGGTTGCGCATCCTAGCTCCGCCGGGACACACGCCGTCTACCATCTCGCTTGGAACGCATCCGCCGAGCGTAACGGGGGTGTCTCGATCGCCTGTTATCGCTCCGATGCCGGCACTGTACGTCAACCCGATGAGAGCTGGTCTCGTTAGCATGATGGCCTTGAGACTGTTGTGTTCTGATCGTTGTATGTATGCATTGAGGGAGGGGGGGCCAACGAACAGAGATACAGTCCTATTCCCACGCCAGAGGCAAGTTTGATGCATTTCGGCATTGCTCGAGCTAACCACTGGCGCATGCCAAACAGTGACAATGCGAAGAAGATAAATCCCTCGACGAACACTGCGGTCAAAGCCAGCCCGTAGCTCACTGGTCCCGATCCATGGAACCCAACGACCGTATACGTGAAGTATGCATTCAGTCCCACTGTCACACCAAATCGTTAGCATCCCTACAACTTCAGCCTCCTTCACATAAGTTATAGTTTGCCAGGAACAACAACGTACTTCCAGGGGCCAAAGCAATAGGCATGTTCGAGAACAAACCCATGCAAAACGACGACAGCGCAGAAATAGCTGCTGTGGCCGTGATCTGGTCTCGCTTCAAAACGTTCAAACATAGGTTATAGTCTATATCGGTTTTGCACGTCGGGTCTTTGGTATCGGTACAGACACAGGGCCCGCCAGAATCTGTCAGGATGGTCGCGTTGACCTTGTGGAACGTAAGCTCGACAGCTCTTCCTCACTCTTTGGTAGCTAGCTAGCCTTCTGCGGCCTGCCATAACGCACCGATATGATATACGCCATGGCAAAGAAAGTGGTAAGCCCAGCTCGAATCTCAGTCAGAAATCGAGCACCCTTCCGCTCACGCCGCTGCAGAAACGAAAGGATATGTCAGTGCCATCACTTCTCACTCAGATCAAACAAAGGACCCTTTCTTTCTCCCTTCTCCATGACAGACAGAAAAAAACGTACATGTCCGGAGCCCTCAAGCCGGAACCTGCGGCCGACAATGCTCCTCGCCACAGCATCATTGACACGAGAACTCCAGTTCTTCATAACAGCGTTAGGAGCAGGTTGAAGGAGTAGAAATCGTGCAGCAAGGGCAAAGATGCATTCATCCCCTTGGCTCCAGGAAAATTTGCAGCGATACGACCCATGATGAGGGACTCGTCCGGCCCATATATGTAGTCCGATCAAGGGAATGCTCGCGAGCTACCTGTTCGTGTGCTTGTCTCTGTGGAGTCCGCTTATCAGACCCGACAACGAAAAAAAACTTTGTCCACTTGGCCATTTGCCCATGGTTATCAAATCAAAACTCGCTATAGCGGACGGCCGAGCTAAGGGGTAAGCGCCTGGAATCGAAAACTCGGTGCTATAGGCAATGCCTTGGAATGTAGACTATAATGGTGAAGGGTTGCATTACTATTGCAGGTTTCCTTATCACATATCTGCTGCAAACCGGGCATCGGAGCGAGCCGGCTGACATCCCTCTGACCAGCAGTTTCATCGCAGATGGCCGGGAGAGAGCGATCAATTATCTGTTCACAGTTAGCTTGATCCTTACTTGTTTGCGGAGGCGAGGTAACATCCTGGGTACCTGATAGATTAGGCGGCTGGCCTCCTACCGAGGCTCGACTCCACAGACATATGGATGTATTTTGTTTGTACATCGTATGGATTCGCACGGGCCCAGCAAGGGAAAGCCTCCTCAAGTCTAAGCACGATATCAAAATTAGAGGCGGCGGTTGCCGATAGAGAGTGGTTATGACGGAGTAAACTATTCCGGGCTCTCGCTCTCGCTCTCGCTCCCGTCTTTAGTTTGGTTGCTTTTGCGTTGGTTGTTTCTTTGACGTTTTGACGTTTGACGTTCGGCGATCCTGGAGACTGAGCACGTGATCCCGCGTCCGGGAAGCGCGCGCGTTTTTCCTCTTTTCGTTTAATTGAAGCGCGCTTTTACGATGGAAGATAATTGCAGATACTGGGAGACAGCCTACTGTTCGACAAGATAGCTGCTGCTGCTCAATATAACTATCGGAGTACCCTTATACATCAGGCTCTCCGTACAGACAACACGAGTTCTAGCAGAATGTCTCCAAAACGACGGGTAAGCTGAGGCCACTCACATCCCATTATCTGGGAATGACGGGCGAGTAACTAATGCTGTGCGACGCCAGGCTACTGACGACGATGATGACGATGATGACGACGAGCAAGACGAGTATGAGGACACTCCATCACGCACGCAGACTCAAGGAGCCACCCAGCGCCGGCGGAGCGCCACGCCCGAGTCTGAAAATGAATACCAACCTGGCGGCCACCTGCAGACCTCTGTGTCAATGAACGTGATGGTGAAGAAGCTGGTTCGGCTGGCTTTAGCTAGCGAATACTCACGCCAACCCATTCGCAGAGCGGACATATCTGCCAAAGTTCTAGGTGATGGCGGATCACGACACTTTAAACTCGTCTTCCTCGATGCACAAAAGACCTTGAAGGAGGTATTTGGTATGCAGATGGTTGAGCAACCAGGCAAGGAAAAGGTGACAATCAGCCAGAGAAGAGGTGAGTGGATATGTGTATAACTCCCGTCCCCGGGCAAGGAACTGCTTGCTAACAGCTTAAAAGCTGCCCAACGCGCGGAAAAATCGAGCACATCAAAATCATGGACTGTCATATCCATTCTACCGGCCGCTTACAGGACTCCGGAAATTTTACATCCATCCAAAGCACCTGACTCCTTCACCGAAAGCTCATATATTGCAATATATACCTTTATTATATCATTAATCATGCTATCAGGTGGATCAATATCAGAGGACAGACTGAACAGACACCTTCGCCGTGTCAATGCAGAATATCATACGCCGCTTGATAGAACGGACAAATTACTTGCCCGACTATGCAAGGAAGGATATCTGCTCAAGGTGCGTGATTCAGATACGGGTGAAGAGGTGATTGAATATTTCGTCGGCCCAAGGGGTAAGATAGAGGTTGGCGTGACTGGCGTATCAGGTATGGCGAAGGAGGTATTTGGCATAGGACAAGGAGGCGAAGGCTCTGAAGATAGCGAGCAATTCGAAAAGAGGTTGAAAAGAAGTCTGGGCGTTAGGGAGAGTAATGCCCCAGAGGCAGAAAATGCAGGGCCCGAGGCACCACGAAGGAGAGGCCGTAGGGATGATGATGACTCTGATTGACATGCATGTATGAATTGGACTGGATTTAACGCCCCATGTATACCCGGAGCTTAGACGAAGAGATCATGACTTGAATACCCATATATCACGCTTCAAAAGATTTGAATAGTCTAAGGTATATCCATTCCCCTGCAAGCCGGTTCCTCCCAACAAGACACTGCAGAGCGCACCCAGCCTAACATGCCGAAATGAGGAAAGAAAAAAGAAAAAAGTAAAAGAACAAGACGGAAACACAGTAGATCATGCCAGCACAACAAAGGGGATAAGAGCAACACCATAACTCCTGTTCCTGGAAGAAGTTATCGTTTTTTCTCTTGGCCATCATCTTCGTCGTCACTGGGTCCGTCACTTGGTCCGTCATCGTCGTCATCCCGACCCTGACCCTCCACCCCTTGCCCTTCTTGCATCATATACTCCACCTTCATCAATGCAGTTCTCATCTGATTGTACTGCGGCATCACACAATCCGCAGGCTTTTGACCCTTCTTGTTCCGTACTCGCGGATCACAGCCCGCTTCAAGCATCATCTCCAGCATTGACATGGCCAACTCGATATCCTTTTCGTTTCCATACTGAACAGCCAGGTGGAGCGGTGTGTCGCCATCGACGCGGTTGGTAGGGTCAACTTCAAAGTGGTATATGTCTAGTAGGTAGTCCATTGTATCGTCTATATGTATATCTCCATATTAGCTTGGGGGTTCCCAAAAATTAAACCAACAAACCCCTTAACTGGAGGGCTGCCCGGCGCTAAGGCGGGGGGTGGAAGGGACGTCTTACAGCTCCCGTAAGCAGCGCATATGTGTAGCGCATGGTTCCCCATGGAGTCTGTTACTCCGTTAATGAAGTCTGCAAACTCATCTGGCTTATCCTTGTAGGACTTCTCCTGTATCTCCTCGATGAGGTAGGGTTGATCGCGGCGGCAGGCTTCCACGACCAATTCGCGGGGTGAGGCTCCCTATAAACGAGGTTAGTCGAGGGGTACTCAGAATCACTGGTAGTGAAGCCTTGAAGGCCGCGAATCTATCTTGCCTCATCGTCAGACATGTTGAATAGAGAAAGAAAAGGGAAATAAAAAGATATACAAAGGCGTGCAAAGTATTAAGTCTATGGTCGGCTCTCCTTCAGCACTTAAAACCGCCGGATTTAGTTCGTCTGCAGGCAGCTCAGAGTTCAATTGCTTGGTAATAGACTTTATATATAAATCATGTGATATGTCTTATATAATTGAATTTTTCACGTGATTGGTTATCTAATCAGCTCTACTCGAGGGCGAGCCTTGCCTGAACGAGTGACCGACGATCAGAAAAGAAAGGACCACCACATGCCAGCTGTCACTGCAAGTTACACTGACAGGCCGCCTCACTTCCGCTTGAAAGTGCTTAGCATTGTATTGAAGAATCAAGGAGAGTACTTTCAACCGCAAAAGCTAGGGAGTGAGAACTACAGCTCCAGACTGACTCCTGAACTTGCAAGAGAGGTGGCCCTTTTAGTTACAAGCGCCAACCTGCCACTTTATAACCCAAGATGTCCAAGATATCTATCTACCACAGACACGAGAACTCGATATTGAACAGGGACGAAGAAGATCTATGAGCTAGCCATGTCGAGAACCTCTTTGAGGTTCTCTGCTGGGTCGCCATTATTCACAATACCAAGCCATGTCTCTGGCTTTTTATACCCAAGCAGCGAGAGCATTTTATCACTCATTCCCAGTACTTTGCTTCGAGGAATGGCCAAAAACTGGTTCTCTTCAGGCCGAAGTGTTCCCGAGATGAAGAACAGGCCATAGACCTTGCGTACTTGGTCGGGGACAGAATTATGCCCGGCGCCATGGTAGACAGTGCCTAGGAAGACAAAAGCTGAACCGGGCTCCATCTCTGGATTATTTCATACTATTAGAAACCCTTGTTTCTTCATGTGTAAAGGATGGTATGCAAGAGTCCTAGGTTGTCTGCACGAGGACAACCGGAAGGAGCTAGGATAACTCACCAGCGAAGCAAACCTCATCGGTTCGAGGGACGCGAGTGTGATTCCATTTATGGGAGCCTGGGATTGCCATGGTCGCTCCATTTTCACGAGTGGTTTTACATCCAGCAAACATAAAGCCAAGCATAGTCTCATTTGACAAGCTGTATTCCCCATCGTGGTGATAGATACCATGGATCATATCATCTCTGTGCAGCCTCTGACGAGGGCCACCATAGCTGACATTATATGTCAAGCTACTGTTCAGTAAGGGCCCGATGGTAAACTCTTCTGTTCGGTCTTCCCAGGTAGCAGTGCATTTCTTCTGCAAAACCATCGTTCGCAGTTTATCAATCACCTCGTACTCAGCGATCTTTGCCATGGTAGGTGACTTGCCTACAATACCTGGGACCATTATAGTTTGTTTGGGGATAAGGTCGTACGCAGCGTGCGATTCGGCTCTAGCTTTCTGGACGTAAGGCTCTAGCTCATCGTTGATAGCAGCCACGTCTTGGCTGGAAATAATGTCGGTTAGAATAAGACCGCCATCTCGCTCCAGGACAGCAAGTATGTCTTCGATCGGCGTGTTTGCGGGAATCCTCGTAAGTGAGACCGAGGGCACATAGGACGGATCAATTGGGGGTGGGAATTCCGGCATTTTGGCAGGCTTATCAAATCAGCTCAGCAACGCAGTCAATGCCAAATGACCCCCAAATACTCAAGTGAAGGCCGCGAAACTTGTTAATGTAAATCAGTGCTTCTATGGAGTATGTTTGCCTATCGAGAATCCCAGCTTCTTTATAGCCATTATCAATCTCAGTGAAACTAGCTGGGCCCGTTCCTAATGGCATACCATGAAGTAAGTCTGGCCCAAATGACAATACCAATGAATTCTCACACATTTCACGGAACGGGTGCAGGGAATGGGTAGTACCGGTGGCTGATTCTAGGTTTATCTTCGTATGCGCGATGCACACATTGAACTTCCAGGATGACCAAAGTTTGGAGCTCATGTCGGTGTGTTTGATCTTCCCAGCCAACGAGATGAGCATCTCCTACTTTTGAGTCAGTCGCTTCCAGGGATATGCCGGAAGTCGACACTTCTACCCACAACCAATAATGTATATGGGATGCTTCGCACAGATGGCTCTGTCCAAAGAATCGACTTGCATAATCCGTCTTGTCGGTCTGGCTCACTTCTGTGATTGTTCCAGTCCCACAACTTTCCGCAAGCCCAGGTACTTCAGTTTCCTTCGCTCACTTCGAGTGTCTCCACGAAAGTATGGAGCGTATCCACAAGCTGCAATAAGATGTTCCCCGAGCTCCTTGGATCATTCCTAAAATTGGGCCTTGACATATTTTACTGGAGCTTCTTCCAACAAAAGGGTTTCGAAACTGGTCATCCAAGCGGCCCTGGCGAAGTTTATAATAAAGTCTGCATTACACACCATAAGTACTAAAGGTTCCGCAGACGGTGACTCGTAATTTGCGCCTGTTTGTGGACAGCTCTGCTCCCTTCTATCCGTCTGCTTCGGCGCCGCCGTCTCAGGTCTGTCCAGACAATAACTGACTATATAGTTTCCACTCGTTTCTCGTGTTTTTGTAATCTCCACCGTTCCGCATATAATAACGCTGCATTATTGTCTCCCGTGTGATCAGGCATTAACAGCCCGAAAATCATGTCACTGAGGAACGACGAACAGACTGAGAAGGGAGCGGTGGTAGGGAAGGTCGATTCTCATCTGTCGAGTCCGGTACAGGAGGAGATTATCCAAGTTCAGACGCAGAAGCCATTCACCACACTATCAGCAATCGGTATTGGTTATGGGGTCACCAACACGGCAGTTGGCCTGCTGCTTGTTCTGGGCACAGGCATTCCCATGGGCGGGTCGCCCGTGATATTTTGGGGTTTTTTGGCAATGGCAGCCGTCGGACTGGCTACAGCAACGACTCTATCTGAACTAATATCCGCAATACCCCACCCGGGAGGTCAATATATCTGGGTACATAAAATTGCCCCAGAAAGATACAGAAGAGGCTTATCCTACGCAACAGCAATGATCAGCTGGATCGCAGCTATCGCAATTGGCGCCTCTGGGAATCTTGCCGTGCCCGTGAATGCATTTACAATTGTCACCCTTCTCAACCCTAACTTCGTGTATCAACGGTGGATGGGCTTTGTGGTGTTTCAACTCATCAATATTGTGACGTGCTTTGGTGCTTGCTTTGAGTATTTTCTACCCAAAATCTCGAAGGCTTTGTTGCTTGTGAACGTCCTCTCCGTTTCGGCCATTATCATTACTTTATTTGCTACTGCCAAAACCCACACGAGTGCTAAAGACTTTTTCGAAGTTGTCAACGTTTCCGGCTGGCCGAATGGTGTGGCCTTTCTAATTGGCCTGAATGGATCTAATTGGTGCTTCTCTTGCCTCGACGTTGCTACACACCTTGCTGAAGAAATCCCATCCCCAAGCACAAATATTCCAAAAGCATTGATTTGGACCATCGTTATTGCATTCAGCAGTGGTCTTCTGATGATTCTGGCTGTTTTAGTTAACATTGGCCCTATTAATACCCCAGATTACTCGGGACTTACGGTCTTACACCACATCACAGGCAGTAAAGCTGCTGCAATTGGCCTCTGGGTTCCCGTCCTTTTTCTTGTTTTCGCCTCTGTATGGTCGATTCAGACATGGCAGTCACGACTTGCCTGGTCAATTAGTCGAGAGTCTGGCTTCCCTCTACATCGTCATTTTAGCAAAATCTTCCCAGCACCATTCTATACCCCTATATGGTCCTTAATTGGCTCTGCAGTCGGCACAGCATTGTTCGGCTGTTTGTACCTTGCGTCTGAACTGGCATTCAACTCACTCATTGCAACAGGAATTCTTCTCCAATATGCTAGCTATAGTATTCCTACTATACTAGTACTTTACCGAGGCAGGTCGAAATTTCAGCATGGCCCCTTTTGGTATCCTAAGTTGGGGTTCATGGCCAACATTGTAATGCTTGCGTGGACCCTGGTAGCTCTGATATTTTATTGTTTTCCTGTTTATTCAGAAGTCATCCCAAGCCAGGTGAATTACGTTTCAGCAGTTCTTATTCTGATTGCTATTCTTATTACCTCGCTCTGGTTTTTGTATGCAAAGAAACATTATCATGTCGTTGAGATATAAATTGATAAACTAATATATATTATTTTCTAACTTTTCCCTTCAGAAGAAACCGTACTTTCAGCTGATATCACTGATATTTCCAGCAATAAAGAGGTTGTAGGGCCGATTAGCACAGAAGCACCGACTAAATATACCGTATGCAACTGAAATCTGAGACCACTGCTGAATAATGAATAATGCAGTCCTTGACTGATACTTTCTTCCTTTGGCTTCAATATTCATAGCGATAAATTAAAAAAAGGGTTTTCATTCTAATGGATCTTCGTATTTGTTGTCAGTGGCAAATGGGCAAGAAATTTTACGGCTTAAGGCCTTGCTTCATTTCCCAGCCAGCTCTGAGAAAGTCCTCAATATTGGTCACATGTACCTCGGGAAAGCGCTCAGCAAGGTTCTTCCCAGGTAAATCGTGAGCATTACTCAACATCGAAAGCATAACCTGAATCTCGACCTCTTGAAACAATTTGCCCTTTTGTGGGTCATCGAACACGGGTCGATTAGAGGTTAAGGGTGTGATCTGGCCCTTGTGAATTGATTCTACTGAATCATACGTGACCTTAAACTCCCTCCCTATTGCTAGTATTAGGAACGTTCGAATGCATATGCCGAGAGGTCCACAATGCGTACCTGTAGTTTTCTTAATCAAACTTTGGAGATCTTTGACTTGAATTTTGTTAGATGCAACCAGGGATTCTTGTGGCCACTCATTTGCTGGAAGGCCCACCAAGCACTCAATATATGCTGCTAGATCCGTTGAATGCGTCAGTACAAGTGGTTGGGAACCATCACCGGGAAAGACGCATTCTTCATGTTCAATGTCAACGAATACCCAATATGGGGTAATGTACGTTGGCTTTGGGTTAAATGGCATGGTGAGATGATCGAGGAAGATCCCAACCCTGATGAGTGTCCAAGTCAATTGAGGGTGACGCATAAGCTCTTCCTCGGCCTCAATTTGAAAATTGGTAAACAAGTCCGACCCTCTATCCTTTCGGTGTTAATTGTAAAATTCCCCAGATGATGTTAAGTGAAACTTACGGGATTGGAGAATGGAAGTCAATATAGTACTCGCTAGGGATGAATTTGGTCACAGACCCCGATTCCGCGGCAGCACGGATCAGATTGATCTGCGATTTTGCAACGCTCTCGTCCGACAAAAGCAAGGCAGACACGACAACTTCAACATTGTTCTCTTTTAGCACATTTCTCATCTCCTCCACGTTGTCATAGTCCACAGCATAGCGTCTTGGCTCATTTGCTGCTCCGGGAGCTCCTTTCTGTAACAATTTAAAAATCATTTGCCATTCTCAAGCCATGAACATGAGGCTAACAATCTTACTCCTCTTGACAACACAATGGCTTTGTGTCTACCTGACTTCGCGATAGCATCCAATACGGTCCGACCAACACCCCCAGTGCCTCCTGCAACAGCGACGACGGCCATAATTGTATGAGAAAATATTGAATGATGATGTAAAGAAGATTGGAAGCCTTGAAAACCTGGCAGCCCGTCCCAAACTGGCCTATTAAATAACTAACTAGTAGTTAAGCTCGGTGAAATGGCAAAACTAAGTAGCTTCACAGCATGAGGCAGATCAGATGCATGGAAATTTCCCTTTTCACTTTCGGCCAAGGCTCACCACTACAACAAAAAAGGGCAGCTTTGTAGTTATGTAGACCAGGTAGCCAATTACAAGTTAGAGATCTCATAAGCAGCAATGTGGTAGCTACCATTTTGATATACGAAAACCCTGTTATATGAATGCTGACAATAATGGATCCTCATCTGTGATGTGAGTTCCCCCCCACACATCCTGCGGGTTCTGATAAGAAGAGAGGGGTAGCGGGTATATCCGGAGGACTAAAACCGAAAGTGCCTATTTGTTGAACTCGCTCGTATCCTCGTTGGTTTTTAAACAATGACGTCAGCATCTCGTTCAACATCCGAAAATGACTAACAAGGTTTTTAAATCAAGGTTCGAGTAGTTAACTTGTCATCGACTCACATAACCTTAACTTTCGTAACTTTAACTTTCTTGTTAACCTAATTTCACACCCCGCCATATCTAGTGTGTATTATTGGCAAAAGATACCCGATAAGCTACAGTAACCCCTCTGTGCCTGAATAATACACCAATTTTCAAGGCTAGATGTCTTTACTAAGAGTTAAGTCTTTGTGAAGAAGTTGCCCCTTGAAAACATAATAATTTAAAGAAACTCCAATGCTTATCCCTTCTAAGTTCTTAGGAGGTGGATACCTCAAGATCAAAATGTCAACTGTTCACCCCCTGTATAGACTATGCACTAGGCTTGTGTAAACCTGAATTCGTCTCTCACAGCTGCTCCAAGCCGCTTAACACCATTTTCGAGATCATCCAGACAAGTAGTGGACACAAACGTTATTCTAAAAAATACCTTATCCAAACATGTTTCAACGTTAAACCAGCTCCCTTTGGCGACAGCGACCCCATGGCTTGCCGCCCGCTCGTAAATTTTATCCTCAAGCTCGAGCGATAGATTTTCCCGCCTTTCTGAGTAGTCGGGATGCCTCAGTAAATCAATCGTAATCCATAAGAACATTCCATGTGTAGGAGTGGTCCATGTGCATAAACCCTTGGGCAGATGCTGGGAGCATGCAGCAATCATGATGTCCCTTCTTAACTTGTACTCTCCAGACAAATGGTTTAACCAATTTGCAAACCCCTCTTGCCCCCAGCTCTCAACGAACAATTTGTACAACATGACCTGGGATGGGCCGCTAGGGGGCGCTGGTCCAACCTCAGCAAAATTTTCGAAAATTTCGACTATTTGTTTGCTCGCCGTTAGCCAACCACACCGAAGGCCGGGAGCCAGTATCTTTGAGGTGGAGTCCACACGAATAACTCGTCCGGATTTGTCTAGGGAAAGGTATGATGAGGGCAGTGATTTCCGCAGCCTTTCGAATGACGAGTAAGGGGGGTTAATATCCAGTGATGAGGAAGATCCGTTGAGTCGTAAGAAGAAGTACGGGTCATCCTCGAGAACCAGCAAGTCATGTCGTTCTGCAATTTGATAGATTGCCGCCTTCCGTGCCGTTGACTGGGTTACACCCGTTGGATTGTGTCCAGATGGGATGGTATATAGCACAAATGGCTTGCGGCTTCGTGATGTGTCCCAGTATCGTAGTTTGTTATCCAAATCTACTGGCAGGAGGCCCTCCTCATCCATCTCGATGCTTTGGATATTAAGACCATGAGCCTTCGCTGCCATAACTGTACCAGTGTATGTAGAAGCCTCTGCTAAGATCCAGTCCCCCCTGTTGCATAACATGCGCAAGACTATATCAATAGCAGATGTTGAGCCGCATGTAAGGGTTGTATTCCAATCTTGATAAGGAGGATTGTGGATAAGGCGAGTGTTCTCTCGAAAGCAGGCTACTAACTCGGTCGACCCAGAAGGATCGGCATAGTTTAAGGCGGACGAAAGATCAAAAGCTGCTTCCCCTATATTGCAAGCCATTGGGTTTCTTGTGTTCGACTCCTTCGTTCCAGTCATTGTCATAGACTGCCAGGGATAGAACAAAGAGGCGGGCCTTCCCACACCGAGGGGAATTGGTATGGACGTGGTAGCTGTCTTGACAGAATTTTTCAAGGGCGATGCGCCTTGTGATAAGCTCTCGTCACTCAGTCGGTGATCCCATCGATTTGCTAGTCTTTTAGGGGCGCTAAAGTGTGCCTGTCGAATATTAACGGTGTCTCGAACATCTTCAAGCAGAACATCGTGTGCCTTCTCAAATTCCAAGTGCATGATGGAGGTAAAGATGAGTTGTAAAGAATCCCAGGGAACAAACGGCTCAAGCTAATATGCCAAGGACAGGTGTGTAGGCTTCCTGCAGTTTCAAATGCGTCTATGATTCCATCAAAAACACCTTCGAAAGCCCCTTGCCTGTTGGTCCATGAAAGCTGATATATAACTAGTGCAAAGGAATCAGGCCAAATTATCGCTCAAGAAACTAAGAATTATCTGCACAAGGAAAGGGGGAGCAGAAGAAAGCTGAGAGAGAGGAGGGGGTGGGGCAAAAGACAAGTGGTGATCTGGGTTGACAGGGTATCTTCTCATGTCTGCTAATTAGCCGGCCAGCAATTGAACAGACTCGCGCCATCGGGTGTTGGGAAGAATATTTTTAGGGGTGAGTTGCAAAGTAGGCCGCCCCAAATCTTGTCCACCTCCTGGTTTATGCACGATATGCAGGGTTGTATTGTGACGCCAAGGGCGCTTCAGATTAAGACGTCGATCTTATCTAGTTATCCTCCGAGTCTCCATTCCTGAGCTAATTATAAGCAAGCGTCAATGATGTCTGAATAAGTGGCTGGCTGATGTGGGGTGGAACTATTCCGTACCTTTCAACGGTTAGTGAGGCCTCAGCCAGCTGTAGCTAACATGCATCATAGGCGTTTCCTCGGGAAAACTGTCCAATGTCTGGCCCTTCTACGGAGTACTTGACTGTAATGCATTGAGCGTGGCTAGTCCCCTTTACACCGTCTGGGCAAAGGCGAGCTCTAAACCGCATTCAACTACGGAGTAGTGATTCAATTACAGCTAATGGGTCAAGGCACAAACCCTATGCTAAACGGACTCAAACAAGGCAGTATCAAATTGAAAATAGCGAAACGGGGAACAGCGGAGGATATTTCCCTTGCTTAGCAAAAAGGCAGTTATTCATTCTATTGTGGGAATATGCTCCGTATACACTGTAGATTAACCCCACTATTGCATTATCTTCTCGTAAATAGCAGGAAGGTCCTTCGCGGGGTCATCATTATCAACCATTCCTAGCCAAGTTCCCGCTGGCTTCTTGAACCCAAGTAGAGTTTGCATCTTTGGGCTCATCTTCAGGACTTTGCTTCGAGGATTGCACAAAAACTGGTTCTCCTCTTGACGGAGAGTCCCTCGGCAGAAGACAAGATTCATAATCTTACGAATCTCCCCCGGAATCGTGTTGTATCCAGCTCCATGAGCCATGGTGCTAAGGAAAATGAACGCCGATCCTCTCTCCATTTCTGAATCTACATTAGTTATAATCTAAAAGCTGTATTGCGGGGGATAGGTCTTACCCAAGAAAGAAACTTCGTCAGGCTTGCCACGTCTGTCATGCTCCCATTTATGAGAGCCAAGGATGACCATAGTGCCTCCATTCTCGCGGGTAACGTTACTACCCGCAATGAAGCAGCTGAAACCGTCTACTTCATTAATCTTCATGTTCGGATGGTGTTTGCTAGAGAAAACCATGTCGTCCCTGTGTAGCGCCTGACGAGGAGAGCCATGGCCAACGTGGAAAGCCATGGAAATACTCAGCAACGGGTCAATGACAAGTTCTTCAGTATGCCCTTCAAAGACAGCTGGATATCTTTCCTCCAGAATTATTTTGAGGAGTTTGTCGATTGTCTCATTGGTATCGAGGATGTTGGCCAAGGTGTCGGACTTTGAAATCAAGCCAGCGATGACCAGAGTCTTTTTTCCGATGAAATCGTCGTATGAATCACTGTCAGGGATAGTTTTCGTGTATGGTTCCAGTTCTTCATCGATCTTGTCCATAGTCTCTTTTTGCACAAAATCCGTTAAAATAACCCCGCCATCGCGCTCGAGAACCTCTAGAATCTCTTCCAGAGAGGAGGTTGCTGGAATTTTGGTAACGGACCTCGCTGGCTGATAGGAGGCGTCGATCGGCGGCAACAAACGGGCAGCAGCGTACTTTTTGTCCATTTTAGCAGAGACAAGGAGAACTAATATTCGATTTTGAAGAAGTAATCCGAAGTTGAAATTCGATAGGCGATAAGGAAGAGCGATTCTTGAGCTGTGCAATTTTATGAGGGGATGCGATGAACATGAGCAACCCAGAGAATAGATATACCTGGGGATGCCATTGAGCCGTGGATTACTGGGTATTATCCGGTTCGGCGCATGAAATGTGCTCGGATTGGTACGGAATGAAGACACTTTTCCGTCAAAATCAACTTGTCAGAGCATAAACATTTGATAAGGGCGAAAAGAATGAGAGTTAGTGACGTGGAAGAGTTGGAGTGCATGTCAAAGTTATCCACCTGCAGACGGGTTTAAAACCAGTCTAACTAATCGCTCAGTTTTTAGCAATCAGCGAGTTACCCCCATCGTGCAGAGAACCAGAGTCTAGAACTAACGGTCTGTCAACTGAACACTTGATCTGTAACTTCTGCGGAGTTTTTGAGAGGAGCACGCATAGCCCACGGGGGACCCAGGTGTATACTCTGTTGTTTTGGCTGTTTCTCTCAGAAACGAACAAGGTATGGAAGACTTGGGGCATAAACAAGCCCCTTCCGATTGGACAGGTAAGTCGTTAGTTATTTACCTTGATGACCACTAGATAAACTTTAAGCTTCGAGAGCTGTCGTACAAACCGGCCTCCACAGCTTGTGCATATACTTTGCCTAGGAGAGGTTACATGTTGCCCCCTGCATATTTCTGTGTCTATGTGTCCATGCACGGCGGCCATTCGATAACAATCGACATTATAGCTCAGGGTCGTTGAGCATAAGCATGGAGTCTGCGTAGCCCATTATGGATAAAACGGCAGTCTCTCCAACGTAAACACGTTCCATTCCTCCGATTATACGGCACCTCAAACCCTGAGCCCTTGGTTATTTCGGGGCGACGAAGCTTCCGGGACTATACCCGACGGATCGTCTTCCTCAGGTGTGATGTATGAGGCGTAAGGACGGGATAATAATGTGTACCAATGCCATGCAAACAACTGGGCGTAAATACGGCTGGGACCTTGTGGATAGCTTGGGTACATCGGCCTTCGAGCGGAAAAAAAGTATGAGGTATGGATATCCAGAAACAATGGAACGTGGCGCCCTTCACAGTCAAGCCGTCATGTCTTAAAAAAAGGACTCGAGTTTAGCCTGCACTTGCCGTTTAGCCAAAGCAACATGGTTCACCGTCAATGCAGTGTGCCCCGTCGGGAATGATATTCTATCAGCCAATCGGTCAAAGGAGGTGAGGCCATGGGTTTGCATCTTGCCTATTGTGTGCGAGAAGGTCATCCTTCGCCTTTAAATAGTCATATTAGTCAATTGCACTGAGGTCAATATCAGAGATTCTCAAAGAAAAACATCACTCACCAGCCCTAGAAAAGAAAGTCATTATCATATAGAAAATTTGATTGCTTTCCCCTGAATTACCGAGATGCTTAATCACGAAAGAACATATTCTCTCTCCGACCAGGACTACCAGAGCCTTGTTTACGACTTCAATGCTGCCGAGGACTTTTCTTTACTTGGTGGTCGTCTGGACCAACTGTTTGAGAAGATTGTGGATACTTTCCCAAAGAACACAGCTCTAATTCATAGAGACACAGAGATAACTTTCTCTGAGCTCAACGAATCTGCAAACAAACTCGCTCGAAGCTTCATAAAACGAGGCTTAAAGCAAGGCGACTTGGTCGGCCTCGCTGTGTCACGATCTATCGATCTTATCGTGGTCGTCCTAGCTGTTCTCAAGCTGGGTGCTGCATATGTCCCTATTGATCCATTGTTTCCCGCTGAACGCATCAACCAAATGGTCAGTGATGCTGGTCCTAAGCTCATCCTTTTAAGTGGCAGTCCGAGCAAGGGTTTGGCAAGCTGGAAAGATATTTGCATAAGCGTGGACGAAGCAAGGGACAACTCGATTGTTGATACCACAAATCTGGAAGCCGACATACAACCACATGATTTATCATATGTAATATATACATCTGGTTCAACTGGGAAGCCAAAAGGCGTTGAAATTAGCCATGGGGCTGCTGCCAATTTTCTGAGCTCGCTGCGAAAATATGAGCCAGGTTGCAATGAGCATGATATCTTGCTTGCCATAACGACGGTATCCTTTGACATGTCAGCCCTAGAGCTGTTGCTGCCGCTTGTTTCCGGTACCACAATGGTCATTGCGGATACCACTGCTGTTAAAAATCCGCGAGAGCTCTTGGAGTTAATGAGGCGTCATCATGTCACTATTTTGCAGGCTACCCCAGCAACTTGGACAATGCTCCTCGAGTCGGGATGGAAAAGAGATCCAAGACTGTCCAAGATCATATGTGGAGGTGAACCTCTCACCCGCCAACTGGCAGACCGTCTGCTTGCTGCTGCTGATTCAGTGTGGAACGTGTACGGACCGTCGGAGACAACCTATGGAAGCGTCGGGAGAGTGGGAGAGGGCGATATCGTCGTGGGCAAACCCGTCGTTAACGGGCGAATCTATGTCCTCGATGACAACTTGTCTCCTGCCCCCATCGGCTGCGAGGGAGAAATATATATCGGCGGCGGCAGCGTCTCGAATGGCTATCGCAACAACGCCGAGCTAACACGCGCGCGCTTCCTCGCTAATCCTTTCCATGGCGGATTGTTTTTCCGAACCGGCGACCTCGGCCGTTTTCTCGCGCCTGGAAAGCTGCAAGTTGTGGGTCGCATCGACGGCGTGGTTAAGATCCGCGGCCACCGTATCGATGTTGGCGACATCGAAGCAGTTCTTCTCGACCATGCGAGTGTGGCTGCGGCAGTTGTTATCAGTCATGATGATCGTCTAGTGGCCTACTGCGTGTTGGATCGGGCCCTGAGCAGCGATGTTTCGCTTGATACCCTTCTACGGCCATGGGTGGCAGAGCGCCTTCCGGCGTATATGCTGCCAGCATTCTTCGTACAAATGGATGCATTGCCGTTGTCACCCAATGAAAAGGTCAATCGCAAAGCACTTCCTAATCCACTAGAGGCTATTCAAAGCCAGGCTTCGAAGCAGCCAACCTCCGAGTTGGAGCAACAGTTGCTGGCAATTTGGGCAGATATTCTTGGACACAACCGGTTTGGCATAGAAGATAACTTTTTCAACCTAGGTGGTGATTCTGTACGTATCATCCGCATGCAAACAATATTAGAGAGGCTTCTGCACCGGCCTATACCTACGCCAAAATTATTTGAGCATTACACAATTAAGGCATTGGCTGCGTATCTGACTGGTATTGGCATGAAAAGTACTGGCACTCAGGAACTCAATACAACAAGCGATAGGTTTATTGGCAGTCATGAAGACATTGCAATTGTGTCCATGGCCTGCCGATTACCAGGCGGCGTCACAACCCCAGAGGAATTCTGGCAGCTTCTGCAGAATGGTGGAGACACCATTATTGATGTTCCCGAGGATCGCTGGGACGCTGCTAAACTATACAACTCAAATCCTGATATTGAAGGTACTTCATATTGTGTCCGAGGCGGTTTTCTGGACTCAGTTTATTCGTATGATGCATCTTTTTTTGGAATCTCTCCACGTGAGGCGCAGGCCATGGATCCGGCACAAAACCTAATGTTGGAATTGGGATGGGAAAGTTTCGAGCGAGCAGGTTATACAAAGGAAAGGCTGCGAGGCAGTGCAACAGGCGTGTTTATTGGCGTGAGCAACAATGGAACAACGAATAGCACCCCTCCTAATCTCAAGGGATACTCAATCACCGGAAGCGCTAGTGCCGCTATGTCGGGCCGTTTGTCATATACCCTCGGTCTAGAAGGCCCATCTCTGGTAGTTGATACCGCCTGTTCCTCCTCTTTGGTAGCCACACACCTGGCCTGCAATGCTTTGCGCCAGGGTGAGTGCAACATGGCTCTGGTTGGTGGTGTAAGCCTTCTTCTCACACCAGGCATACACATTGAATTTAGCAAACTGCGTGGTCTCTCGGCAGATGGTCGGTGCAGGGCCTTTTCCCAGGATACAGATGGCACGGGATTTAGTGAGGGTGCTACTTCCATCGTGCTGAAGCGTTTGTCCGATGCTCAGCGGGATGGCGATACCATCCATGCTGTATTGCGTGGCACCGCAGTTATGCATGGCGGATACAGTGCCGGTCTAACAGTACCCAACAGCCCTGGCCAAGTGAAGCTTATCCGTTCAGCCCTGGCGCAAGGTGCAATGAAACCCTGCGATATTGACTATATTGAAGCTCACGGCACTGCTACTAAACTTGGAGACCCTATTGAGGCAACAGCACTCGCTGAAGTCTTTGGTAATGGGCGCTGTAGTCCGGACCCTCTGAGGCTAGGTTCTGCAAAGTCAAATGTTGGGCATACTCAGGCTGCTGCCGGCCTCGTTGGCTTATTAAAAGTGGTTTTATCAATGCGATATAATATCATACCCAAAACCTTGCATGTAAACGAACCTACCAGGTCAGTTGACTGGAAAGGGGCTAACATGGAGTTAGTTCTTGCCCCTCAACCATGGCCGCCTAGGGATCGCAGACTACGCCGGGCTGGTATAAGTGCATTTGGAATTGGCGGGACCAATGCCCACGTTATCGTGGAAGAGCCCCCTAAGCTTCTCGTCAGAAAAAATGGTTGCGCTCTGCCCACTTTAGTACCTAGCGCTATTCCGTTCCTGCTCTCTGGGGGTAGTGAGTCAGCCCTTAGAGCACAGGCTGAGAAACTTCGGTTACATATTGACAGTGGCATTGGAAAAGAGGACCACCTGATTGACGTTGCCTTTTCACTGGCTACTACTCGTACCCACCTCCAACGCCGACAGGTAGTGGTTGCAAGCAACAAGGCACAGATGCTGGAGGCCCTGACATCTGTAAGCTCGAGTTCTGACAAACTCTTCAATGTGAATGAGGTCGGGAAGCCAAAGTTGGGGATGCTTTTCACCGGGCAAGGCAGCCAGCGACTAGGGATGGGCAAAGAGCTCTATTCTGTCTACCCTGTTTTCCA